GTGTAGTTGTTGTGTGTTTGACATTGACAAAATACCGTGCATCCATGCGATTGCTGCAGCAAAGCGGTCTGGTCGGGACGAGAATGAGTTTGTTGATGCTAGTCATTTGAATGATACTTGGTTCAAAGCTTATTCCGAGAGCGTACACCCAAATGGAGATGTAAAGGATTGGACTTTTCCTGAATTGATTACCAACTTCTTTTGTGCACCTCCAGGGAGTAAGCCTTCTAGTGGTAGACCGCCAAAAAAACGAATTCGTTCTAAGGGAGAGTATGGCATTCCGGGTTCAAAATCACAAAGTCACAAATGCAGTAGATGTGGACAAGGAGGACACAACAAAAGCACATGCAGGAATGCAATCTGATTATTTTTGGTAAGGTGCTGTGTATACTTTCATTTCTCTTTAAAGCTTCATGTTAAGGTTCATGTTCTAGTAATCTTATCATAGTGTAGAAGATTGATGTTTTTTTGTTGTTTTTTTTCAGATTTTTGTGGCTGACAGAACAAGAAGATTGTGTATCCCCATTTTTTATGTTTTTTAGCCTCAGTTTTATACTCAAGAAGTTGTCATTTCGATTAGGATTTCAAGAAGTTATATTCTGACGTTTTATGAAGGCAATCCTAAATGAACTAAGATTCTTCCTAAATAAATTTAATATGTCCTGAAATTATAATTTTTTAGTTTTTACATCCTTTTTTGACTTTTTTTTGTTGGTTTGCTTCAATGTTCTTTCAAATTTAATTCACTTATGACATGTATTGATTTCAAACTAAGACCAAATTTCTTGTGTAACATTTAGTGCGTTTTATTGCCTATAGTTAGTTTAATTATTGTACATAACATGAATGATAAGCTTGGCTTAATGGTTACGCACCGTTATAAGATGTGTAGCGGGTCCGGGTTCGAGTCTTTTCATCGGCAAAAGTTTTAAAAATTATATTTCCGGTGAAGAGGTTAATATGTTTGTATATATATATATATATATATATATATATTTGTACTATAAAAACGAATGCGACACTTGGCTAATTGGTTACAGACTCTGTCATAAGGCATTGGTGGTAGGTTGTTCGAATCCTTATGTAGTATTTTTTTACATTATTTTTTAACTTTTAATCAAGGGCTACCTAAATATATACAAATCTTCCTAAACATCATTGATTTTAAATTTTAGTCTTCCTAAAACATCATTTTTGTTTTAAAACATCATTATATTCTTTCTAAAACATCATTCAATCCTTCCTAAACTTCATTATATTCTTCCTAAATATATTCTTAGTTGATTCAACCTTCCTAAAGTTCATTACATTTCTCCTAAATAAATTTAAACCTTCCTAAAATCTAATTACACCTGTAAATTATGATTACACTTGTACATAAAAACCTTATTACATTCTGACTACATTTCCTAAAACCTTTGTTATCATTTCATAAATGATTTATTATTTAAAATTTCAATTTTGAATCCCATATCTTCAGTGAATCCTAACCAATCATAATGATTAAAACTTTCCTAAATTTCATTCATGGTTTCCTAAATGAATTATAAGTCTTCCTGAATAATGTTTTTAGTTTTCTATATTATTTAATTGCGTATATATTACATGTATTGTTATGATATAATCGAATGAAGAGCTTAGCTCACTGGTATCACACTCTTTGACCATAATTGAATAGATGCGGGTTCGAATCCTCAAAGTAGGCTACTTCTTTAAACATTTTTCTAATTATTTTTGTTCATAAAGACCATCATGAATTTGATTCATCTCTTCCTGAATTATTAATGACTACTTCCTAAATGTTTTTTTTTAACCTTATAAGTAACAAAAACCAGAAACAAGTAATACACAAAAGAGATGGAGAATGCTACCATTAAACATCCATTTATCTAACAAAAAATACTAAAAACATACCATACTTAACAAACAATTCAGTTATCTTAATGTAAATTGCTAAACACATACTAATCTTATACTAAGACCAAATATTCATTCCCTAAACATATCAACATCCTTCACAATAATCTCCTTGTAGATATCATATGCAATCCTGTCTCTTGTATCTTCACTAAACACTTCGTCAAGCTTGTTCATCATGTCTTCAACTCCCATTGCATGACATTCGATCATCTTTAATAAGAATATGGCACAGTTGCCATCATGTTTGATGCGACGAGTAAATCTTTTCGGGGTTGAGACTTTAAAAGAGCTGAGATCAACAAGCTTTGGCCCTTTGCCCCAAGCTAGCAAATACGGAATCATTTATGCAAAACAAAACAGCAACAGTCATTGGTTAGCACAAACACATCAAACTCAGAATGCTTTTCACAAACCTAACTAAACCAAACTCAAGCTGTTACTCTATCATTGATTACCACAAACCATAACAAATAACAGACCAAACACATCACAAGACCTAACTCTAACTTCACAGATCAAACGAGATCAAACTAGTCATTTAACAAGACCAAACAAGACCTAACTCTAACATCACATATCAAACAAGAACAAACTAGTCATTTCACTATATCACAGATCAAACTCTTACATGACAGATTAAACTCTAGCATCATAGATCAAACTTTAATATCACAGATCAAACTATAACATCACAGATCAAACTCTAGTCTAGAACTTTCATACCTGCATATGGGAAGACATGGCTCTTAATCATATCGGCTTTGTAGTTGTCGCTTCTACAATCGAACACCGTTATTTTCCTTTCACTGAAGCTCACTTCGATGCCAATATGCTGGTTGATTTCTTTGCAATATGCAATCCCATATGCATTATCCACTTCATACCATGCCGTCTGTAGGCTGGAAATCGAAGGCGATTTTCTGTTGATGGTATCCAACAGTCTCTTCGGGAATTTATAATGTGTCTTGAGGTTGTCCTTCTTGAAACTAGGATAGCACTCTCTCAAGACTCTAAGGAAACCAGTGTTGACAAAGATAGACTTCGGCAGCCTCTTGTTGTGGAAGTACACCGGGTCTCGCTCCCTTTTGAACCAAATTGCCAACATTGCTGCGTCAATATGCTGCATTATCTAGTTATGTCAGAATGCTATTCATTGTAACTCATATTTGCAAATACAGTTTCAAGAAAGTTCTCAGTAAACATAAGAAAAAGTATCTTAACAGATACATAATTTGACCAAAAGAATCTTAACAAAATTTGACTAAACTCAGCTATTCACAAAAACTCTAGCATTCTCATTACTTATCAATTCAAACTCTAGCATTGTCTATAAGAAATCAAACTTTAGTATTCTCAGGTTACTATTCACCAAAACTCTAGCATTCTCATTACTTATCAATTCAAACTCTAGCATTGTATAATTATTCAGTTAAATAACATACCGTTTCTTGAAGATGCGCCTCTGGTTTTTCCACAATGCTTAACCAATGTGGCGTTAATGGTTCTCTGTCAGTGATCTTCCTGAATTTATCAAAGCAAATACTAGCAATCAACTGAATTTTCATTTGAACGAGTTAATGATTAACAAACATGTAATTAGTGATTATACTAACCCGGTTTGTATGTTTGCATTCCTCCAAATAGTCATTTCTTCGTCGTTTTCTAATGTTGGAGAAAGAAAGGGGTTCATACTCGGATTTAGTGTTGTTGTTGCTGGATTACGTGTTGCTCGGTATGGTGATATTATCGGCATTGATGGTGTTGTTAGTCGCTGGCTCCGCCTTACTTGTTGTCCTTGCGTTTCTGAACCCGTTTCCTCTTTTTCTCCTGAAAACATTATGTTGAAACCATTATGTATTATTGATCACAATCAAAATATACATTACAATCAAAAGATTACAATCAAAAGATTACAATCAAAAAGAATCTCTAAGTTTCATATATATACCTCAGCTGAACTGAAACAACCAAGATCAAAAGATGGTTCTACAGAACCATCTTCTTCATTTTGATTGCCTTCTTGTTCTTCTTCACCATCTTTATCAGCTGGATCCATCTTCTTAGTAAGCTCGTCTGTCTCCTCAACAATTTGGGTTATTACCTACATTTTATACAAACTTTTTAGTATAAAATCATACTCAAAACAAACTCAAACTCAAAAACTCTAGTATTCTCATTACTTATCAAATCAAACTCTAGCATTGTCATATCTTACACAGAGAAACAACTTCCTAAAGACTGGCCACGACTCTAATTTAAACACAAATCATGAAGAGCATCCTAAACATTCTTGAAGGCAAAATACAAGTGTAAAGCTTACCTCATCAACTTGATCCATCTTCTGAGTAATCTCCACTGTCTCCTCAACAATGCGGGTTATTACCTACATTTTATACAAAC